CAAACAAAAATTATTTTTTAACGTCAACTCTTTCAACGTTAATATTTTTAATATCAATTTTATCAAAATCCAAATCAAAGCTTTAGATCATAAAATTTAAAACTCATTCTAGAATATATATTAACAAAGATACATTCATGAATAGTAGTACCAAAGAAAAAATCAATGTATATAGAAGCATAAGAAAAAAAATCAAGGTCTCTCCTTTTGAGGTTTTCACACTTAAATCATTTCCCCTTCCTTTTGTTATTTGCAGTTGGTTGAACAACTGGTTGATTTATAGAAGCCTTCGTTTATAATCCCGCTTTTTTACCTTAGGGTTTGGTGTTTGTCATTTAAAATAATATAAGTTATGTCATTTTAAGAGAGAGACAGACACAGAAAAACGGAAATCATGGGAGAGACAAAGTGAATGATTTTTTTTAATTTAAAATTCAAATTTTCTGTGTCTGTATCTCTCTTGAAATGACATAACTTTCTGTCATTTAAAATGAGAAACACTTTTTCCATAAAATAAAATAAAAAACCCACACAATTGAAGAAACCTGTTTTGTTTTCGTTTGAGTAGGGGAAAAGTTAAGTACCATTAAAAAAAAAAAGACATCTATATAAGACGTCATACATATTGTCCACAATCACAATTCACAAGTGTCCACAACATTTCACTTTGCAAGAATTAGAAAGAAACTTGAAGGAGAATCTTGTGCAACTATGCGTCCACCGTTGAAGAGGGTCAATTTCTGCAGAGGAGACAAGGTTGAGGTTTGCAGCAAAGAAGAAGGGTTTCTCGGTTCCTATTACGAAGCCACCATTGTTTCCCACCTTGACAATGGCCTCTACGTTGTTCGCTACAAGAACCTTCTCGAGGACAACGAGTCTCAGCCTCTCACCGAAACCCTTTATCCCAAGGAGCTTCGTCCATTGCCACCTCGTGTCCACGCTTCTCAGTTTGCGCTCTATCAGAAAGTCGATGCTTTCGACAACGATGGTTGGTGGGTTGGTTCGATCACTGGCAGATCTGGTTCTCACTACTACGTGTACTTTTCTACCACAAACGAAGAGATAGCGTACCCTTCTTCTCATATCAGGGTTCATCATGAATGGGTTAACGGGAATTGGATTTTTTTTAATTAATTTCGTTGTTTTTGTGTGTTCTTGTTCCTTCAGGATCAATGCTGTAATGGGTTTTTCTTTCTTTCTTTTCATTCATCTGTGGGTTTGGAAATTCCACATAGGTTTATGGGTCTGTAACTAATTTTGAGTAGTCCTTGTTATATGTAAATCCACAATGCAATAAATATCCTTTCATTCAAGAACAATAAATACAGCAAAGGCATTTTTCTTTGATTGTGGGTTGATTTATGGGTCTGTAATTAATTTTGGGTAGTCCTTGTTAACGGGAATTCGATTTTTTTTGGTGTTGCTATTTTGTTGTTTTTATTTCCCTTTTCTTTGATTATGTTTCATAAAATAAATAAAGCAAAGGCATTTTTCTTTTTTCTTTTATAAAGGATATCTTTAGAAGCAATTTTCAGGGTTGTAAAAATAAAAAACATTTTATATTTAAGCAATTACACATTTGGTAAGAAGATTAGTTTGAATCATGATCTTTAGGAAAGCACAATGATAAAGGAGCCTGTTTGGTTTGTCGCTGCGTTGAATAAAATTCTGTTTGGGGGCGAAGATTGATTGCAACAATTTCGAACATGTTTGGTTGCACAAAATACTGGAAGAAAAACCGACTGTTAAGGGTTAGAATTGATTTTGAGTGAAATAATTTTTTTCCAAGAGTGAGACTCGCATATTATATTTGTAATTCTATTTTATCAGTTATACAAATTTAATTTTTTAAAATATCATTCTAAAAACATAAATTTATTTTTAACATCAATCCTTTTTTCACGTTATTTTTTTAATTCCAATTTTATCAAAAACTAAATTGAAATTTAACATGATCATGTCATGTGAGAGGAACTCAACCATTAATAATTTAATCAACAATGATAATTGTGTAACTTTATATCTTTATATTTTTTCTTTCTCATTCTTTATCACCATTCATTCAATAATATATGATTATGATTATTACACATGACATGATCATGTAATTAGGACATGAAGAAAATTACAAATTTTTAAATGAAAATTGTACGTACAACTGCTGTACACAAAGTTCTCTCGACCCAATCATGAAGGCGCACGGAAAGTTGTCTCGACCCAATCATAAAGGCGCCTCTGTTTGTTCTGGCTGCCATAAATAGAATAATGCTTAAAAAGGTTAAAATATAGGATTTTATGTTTATCATGTAACATAACACAATTTTATTTTTCTACATACACGTTAAAGATGTGGGGTTCACATGTTTTTTTTTCTCTTTCATCATTCCAATTCTTCTCTTCCTTTTGTTATGTGTGTTGAAAACAAAACTTAAGTTTTGTAATATAACATTAATAAAACCCTAAAATGTATTACAGCAATTTCAAACATGTTTGGCTGCAAAAAATACGGGTACTAGAAAAACATGAGGGGTTAGAATTTATATACAACAATAATAAGTATATGATTGGGATCCCCATATTTAATATTTTTATCTTTTCTCTGTAAACCTCTATAATATTATTTCAAGGTATGGGACTGAAAAATTATATTGTATCAACTAAACAAAATTAATTTTTTAAAATGATTTTTTGAAATATCATTCTCAAACAAAAATTATTTTTTAACGTCAACTCTTTCAACGTTAATATTTTTAATATCAATTTTATCAAAATCCAAATCAAAGCTTTAGATCATAAAATTTAAAACTCATTCTAGAATATATATTAACAAAGATACATTCATGAATAGTAGTACCAAAGAAAAAATCAATGTATATAGAAGCATAAGAAAAAAAATCAAGGTCTCTCCTTTTGAGGTTTTCACACTTAAATCATTTCCCCTTCCTTTTGTTATTTGCAGTTGGTTGAACAACGGGTTGATTTATAGAAGCCTTCGTTTATAATCCCGCTTTTTTACCTTAGGGTTTGGTGTTTGTCATTTAAAATAATATAAGTTATGTCATTTTAAGAGAGAGATAGACACAGAAAAACGGAAATCATGGGAGAGACAAAGTGAATGATTTTTTTTTAATTTAAAAATCAAATTTTCTGTGTCTGTATCTCTCTTAAAATGACATAACTTTCTGTCATTTAAAATGAGAAACACTTTTTCCATAAAATAAAATAAAAAACCCACACAATTGAAGAAACCTGTTTTGTTTTCGTTTGAGTAGGGGGAAAGTTAAGTACCATTAAAAAAAAAAAAAGACATCTATATAAGACGTCATACATATTGTCCACAATCACAATTCACAAGTGTCCACAACATTTCACTTTGCAAGAATTAGAAAGAAACTTGAAGGAGAATCTTGTGCAACTATGCGTCCACCGTTGAAGAGGGTCAATTTCTGCAGAGGAGACAAGGTTGAGGTTTGCAGCAAAGAAGAAGGGTTTCTCGGTTCCTATTACGAAGCCACCATTGTTTCCCACCTTGACAATGGCCTCTACGTTGTTCGCTACAAGAACCTTCTCGAGGACAACGAATCTCAGCCTCTCACCGAAACCCTTTATCCCAAGGAGCTTCGTCCATTGCCACCTCGTGTCCACGCTTCTCAGTTTGCGCCCTATCAGAAAGTCGATGCTTTTGACAACTATGGTTGGTGGGTTGGTTCGATCACTGGCAGATCTGGTTCTCACTACTACGTGTACTTTTCTACCACAAACGAAGAGATAGCGTACCCTTCTTCTCATATCAGGGTTCATCATGAATGGTTTAACGGGAATTGGATTTTGTTTAATTAATTTCGTTGTTTTTGTGTGTTCTTGTTCCTTCAGGATCAATGCTGTAATGGGTTTTTCTTTTCTTTTCTTTTTTTCTTTCTTTTCATTCTTCTGTGGGTTTGGAAATTCCACATAGGTTTATGGGTCTGTAACTAATTTTGAGTAGTCCTTGTTATCTGTAAATCCACAATGCAATAAATATCCTTTCATTCAAGAACAATAAATACAGCAAACACTACAAGAAAGGAGTCATGTAAAGGCGGTTTGGGTTATATATATAGGCGGTTAAAACCGCCTGCGTTTTCTTCATTTGGCGGTTAGTGATCCGCCTGGGTTATTACTGTCGAGAATCATACACAGGCGATTTCTGTAAACCGCTGGAATATCAGCCAGCACTATTTGAGGGCGGTCGACATGACGGCCTATATCGTCAGAGGTGACTTCAGAAATGGCATAACCCATGTTTCCAAGCGGTTAGATTAACCGCCAGTTCTAAACATATGCAAGCGTTTATTTTGGCGGTTTATATCGTCAGAGTGATTTGTGAAATTGCAATAATAGTTAAAAAAGCATGCGGTTAGATGAACCGCCAGAAGATCGAAATGCAGGCGTCTTTGGTGTCCATTAACTCTGTCGGTAAATTGACTATATGCAACGGTCTTTATAACCCGCTAGCAGATTTGCATATTTTTTATTTTATTTTTATAACAAATCCTATATTGTAATATTTAATAGTATCAGAGAAGGGAAATTTAAGCATTGAGTAGGATACTACAGAAAAAGGTAAATATGTATTCAATATTGTCAATAGGATTGAGTGCCATACATATTGGGGTGCCACTGAATGACCAAAAATATAAAACCTATTCCTAGGTAATAAGCAAAACATACCCAGGAAATTGCTAACACCCAAAACAGAATGAGTGAGTGACATACATATTGGGGTGCCACTGAATATACAAAACAGCACAAAATATAGAACCTACTCCTAGGTAAGCAAAACATACCCAAGTAATTCCTATCATCCAAAATATACCTAGGAAATGCTTAACATAAAAAACATGAAAATTTAAAATATAATGTCAAACATCCAAAATAGCACTCAGTGCACAAGCAGTGGTTTGGGGAACTTAATATCCATAATACATGTTCCATCAAAAACTTTGAAATGATGTCCAATATTAAGATGATGGTGGTGAGGGTCCATGATTTGAAGATTCTGGTCCAAGAGAAGGATTATGACTAGCATTGGAGGACTTTCTAATGGCAGGAGATCCCAAGTCAGGAACCTGATATTGTGGGGAAAAATAAAATAGACATTAATCAAAGAGCCAAAGTGGGAAACAAAATATTTAGGTTAGGAACAGTAAAACAATTAGGCAACAGAACAGATGTATGAAATATTGACTTCCTACCAATTTGAGCTTTAGTGATTTTATTTGACTTCGTACCCCATTTTCATAATTCAATCCCAAATACCACAACACTGAAAATTGTAACATTCAACCAAATTTCCTAAAGGAGCAATGTTGATTTATGTGACAAGTCAACATGCACTATAAAACGACAAAAAGGCATAGAGTCAAGCAACACACATTAAAAAATGCATGTGATATTCTGACAGCATTGATCCAAGCAACAAATATTGATCCAAGTGACAGCAATTGATCAAACTTTAAGGTACATATGCATTTTTTATCCAATTGATGGCAATATGATTTATATAACAAGGTGACAATATTTAGACCGGTGACAACAATTATTACAAGAAAATGATGATACAAATTTTAAAACCTAATATTAAATGGACATGCAGAGTTTTATGGCAGATGATAGCAATGTCAATTATATAACAAGGTCCAGTGACAATATGTAAACCACATTGGAAGTGACAACAATTAATAGGAAGAACAGTATTGAGATCTAATGTCAATGTTAATATGAAATGGACATGCACAATGCTGATCCAAATTATAAGGGTTTGTCAACTATATAACAAGAATGAAGATAATATCAGAAACCCCAAAGCAGATTTAAGACACATTTACCTCATTAGATGGCAATTGACTTCCAAAATTTAGCAGAAAATGTGCCATTTGTGATTTCAATGTGTCAAGCTCTACCATCTTGTCTTTTATAGTGTCCAACTCTTCTTTTAGGGCATCATATTCAGCTTGTGTAGGACTACTGGAAGAAGTTGAGGCTGAACTAGTTGATGTTCTACGTATTTGGGATGGAACCACCCCAAAACCCATGCCTCTAACCCGACCTGGGTGTTCCTTCCCAAATACATTAATAAAAGCCTCTACTTCAGAATTGGTTTGTTGCATCTGTACTAGTAATTGATCCTGCATACAATCAATTAACGATCAGAAATTGAACTTGAAAGGTATGACAGTGATTAATCAAAATAAATTACAACAAAAATTAGTTACATTTTTCAGCCTAGCTTCCTCATTCACAAAATTTCCACACTTTTTCTTATGAGCAACAGCATACATTTCCCCCCTGGTCACTGTTGTTCCACGTTCTATTTCCTGACATTTGGCATTGCACAATAATATTAGTTCCATAATTCTACAGAAGTGAAATATATGAATACTAAAGTGGCAATTTACATTATTTAAATGCCATACCAGCTCTCTTTTCCTCCTTGCAATGGTCTTTGAGCCTAGGGTATGTGGGATAGTTTGTTTCTGTCTATTAGCAGTATTGATTCTACTATATTTCTGCATTGTATAGGAAAAAAAATTAAGCTATTTGTTGGATACAAGTGACCGCAATAAAAAATTAAAATCATCCTTCATTACCTTTGCTTTCTCACTTGTTTTATAAGTCAAGAAACTACCCCATTGTTCCCTTGTCATCCCATCAGGGAAATTTTCTAGATTTTGCTCAAAGCTTTTGTCTTTTTCATACATTTCATTCGCTAGCCTCCACCTGTTGTCTTTCCATTTCTTACCCATATTGCCCATACAGAAATGATAATGGTCATCATTATCCACAACGAATCTTTTCTGTAAGAGAGTAATAAGCTCAAAATTAGACACAATAACGACATAATTATAACATGGGCCTGTTACAAAAGTTATGAACCATTGTTACCTTAATAGTGTTTAGCCAAACATCTTCCTTGTAGATGGGGGGTATTTTAGGCCACCTCTCATAACTGATAGGGAATATGTTTGGGTTGCATGCAAGGTGACCCAAAAAACCAAGCAATAGGGCAGCAGCCTCCCCGACAGGCTGAATGTCCTCATTCCATTCCACTACTACTTTCTTATGAGGAGGAAGTACCAATACATCCCGCACACGTAGTCTTTCCGCATCAGCCACTCCATTATCAGCTAGTACAATTTTGTTAATGCAAGAAGAAGATAAAAAAGAAATTGTAAGAATTAAAGGCTGTGTATATAAGATTAATACAAGTTTAAAATATTGGTTTAGGACTCAGTTACCTAGCACATCAACAACCCAGTATTTGTTGCATGTCCTTTGGGAAGGGTTTCGTGGTGGTCTTTGATCGGATGGCTGAGATTGACCAGAGACTGGTTCAGAGGCAGCAGGTGCTATTGTAGGTTGAGCAGATGATGGTGGAGGTTCAGTATTTGCAGTTGCAGCTTGTGCAAATCCTGATTGAGCAGATGGTGGTTGGGATTGAGCAGAAGGTACTTGTTGTTGGTGGATCACCAATTCATGTGGCTGAGTACTCAATTGTTGAGTGGGTACTACCGAGTTTTGGTTTTGTTGTTGCACATTGGTTGTCCCTTCATTAGCAGAGGAGGTTGTGGGATGCACCCTTCTGGTGAACCTCTTTGTACGTGCCATTGCCCTGCTTGGAAAAAAAATTGCAAGCACACATAATAGTGGTACAAAACAGAGAAATCTCAAATGTCTATTTGGGATATAATTAATGAAATCAGGCAAACCAACATGTACACAGTTAATGTAATATAATATTAAAACCAGAATTATACAATTTGACAGTAAAACTAGCATGTACATATTCATATAGTTCAAAACCTCTATTAGCAGCATGTACTCATACATTTCAGATAAACTAGTATGATCAGCAAGTAGACATATACCTGAATAGTGTAAATAAAACCATAATTACACATTTGTATAACAAGTTAAAACAGCAAAGATAGTCGATGTACAGATGTATTCAGTTTAAATTTACCAGTGTAAATCAACATGTACTCAATCATTTTGGATAAACTAGTATAACCAAAAAGTACACATATACCTCCATAGTACCAATGAAAGCAACATTACACATTTTTTGGACAAGTTTAACCAGTAAATCCAGCATGTACAGACCTATACACATTAAATATACCAGTGAAAACAGCGTGTACAAGTTTTTATAAATTTAAACCAGTAAAATCTTCAAAAGTACATGTCATGCAGGACATCAATTTTCTTGTTACAAATAAAATTTATGTAGTGATGTGATCAAAAACCACCGCTAACTCGGAAGCTTTGCGCAAAATACAAAATAACAACCATGTAAAGAACATGTAACTGTAATGAACTCAACCTCTCTTATTGTTATTGCTACTGCTTCTGCAACTAAGCTGCCTCTCTGGAACCTCTTGTCTCTGACATCTTTTATGGAAATCCATAAACTAAAGGAGAGAGAGAGAAAACAAAAAACAAAAAGATCCTAAAGACAAAAGAGGTAATAGTTATTATTGGTATTATTTTATAAGAGACTATATTTAAGAGTTGGTGGTGTCTGAAGCCAATGTCTGTTAATATAGATTGTACGGTTTGAGCTTTTACACGAACTTCCTTTATATATTTTTAGAAAAAAATCTTTCCAAATCAAAGAGGGCAGATATGAATGTTAACAATACATATTGGAATCAAAGTCAACTTCATGAACAAGCTTTCCATTGTAAATACAAAGTTATATCAGAATTGCAGAACTAAAAACCAAAAAATGACATCCCTGGGTAGTGGGGATTAAAATATCTTCCCTCTTTTTATAGACAACGAGATAAGCCACAAAAGTTAAATATATAACTCAGAAAGAGAAAACAAAATGAGGAAAACAAACAACAAGATTTTGGTAAGAAAAATTAATTTTTTTACAACATGGGGAAAAATAGACCCTAACTTTACAAAGGGAAAACAACTTGAAACAATTTACACATGCAGAAAAATAGATAAGAGGGATAATCCAAACCTGTCCACCTGAAGAGCCGAAGAACTTTCCAAGTGCGCAAAAATCAGAAAAAGTTGGAAGCCTTCAAACACTACAACAATAGCATTACATCAAAATGAAACAATGTAAGACTGCCAACGGGGGTTAAGGCGAAAGGGGATGGAAACAGATAAAATAAGGTACCTATGTTGCATTAGCTGACCTTCGCTTGTCAATGAATACAGAACAGACCAACAAGCTGATCCTGTGGACCTGAAGAACGAAGATATTTCCACGTGCAGAACAAGAGGTTCGAACCCTGCAGAAAGTACAATAACAGCAATAAATAAAAAAAGAATCAAAGGAAAATGTCAATGGGGGTTAGGGAAAATGAGGAAGAGGATACATATGATTTCTTTCTCAGACCTTCGTCTATCAATGGGGGTTAGGGCAAAACGAGATAAAGCTACCACCTTGGGGAAACAATAAGGCCGTGAGGGAGCATATTTGGCCGAGTGTGAAGATATAAAATGTGACCCTAAACTTAACTAATATGCCCTGTCCATTTTTTGACTCAGAGTGTGACTTTCGAGGAAAAGCTAAGAGGGAATAGATTTTTCACAAGGGAGGGAAAACTATCCGCCTCGCCAAAAGCACCAAAACAGTATGTGCGTTTAATGTAATAAAATATGGTCTTCATAACATAACAAACCATGCAGGTTAAGTGGCAAAGCCATATGATATTCCTTGTATGAACATGGGTTCGAATCCTCAATGCATACATTTTGAATTCACTATCATGTATATAATTTTTACACTTGGAATAAATCATATGGCGTTATATATATATATATCATAGTAGTGAATATATACTATATTAATATTACGTATATAATTATAATAAATACAAGATATTTTTAAACTTAATATTAATATATATTATTCATAAAAATAAATAACGCATATTTAAGTGTTAATAAAAAGTATTAATATAAGTAATGGGTATATGAAATATAAGTTATTTTATACATTAAATCTAAGGAAATAATTTTTATATATTAATAAAGCATAAATATGTGAAATATTAAAAGTAATAACATAATTATAAATTTTCTCGGTAATAATTATTTATTATTATTATTTATGGAAAGAATATATATATTACAGCCATTAAAAACTTATCTCATGTACACACAAAATGGGGGGACCATCGTTTCTAACAAAAAGTAAATAACAAAAGGGAAAAACTATTCTTATGTTACATAAGATATATTTTCTCTCATACACACTCTTCGATAACTGTGTTACCTTTTTCTTTTCTTTTATTTTTTCAGATGGTGAAGCCCACAAATTTATCTCTATAACATGAGATAACTATCTCCTTTAACATGAGATTAATAAAAGGAGTGTATATATATAATTGAACAATTCCCTTTAATAGCTTTAACTGCAGCAATAGTATGCCTTTCACACTCCTAAGAAAGGAGTGGGTATAGAAAAAAACATTTTGTCAAATCTTTGGTGAGTGTGGTAGACATACTAAACACACAACACATGTAGATAAAGGTAATTCCCATAATTTATATGCACTAACCATATAATAATACAGAAGTATATATATATATATGTATCGTAAATTAAGATTTACGATTTCATATATATACAAAGATTGACATGCGTGACACGTGAACACTTAATCGAGCAATCTAAGTTAATACTATCTATATGTGGAGATGTATTTTTGTTATATGTCAATCGGTAAAAGGGGTGTGTGTGAACACAGAGAATTATCAAATATCTTGCCTTTGCAGGTACGAATTGTTAATCGGTAAAAGACACAAACAAATGTATGTGAGAGCGAATCCCTTGGGTTATTGTAATTGGGAGAGTAGTAGATGAAATTATATAGAAATAGTGTTGTGTGACATGATCGTGAGTGGTTTACGTGTGTACTCACCTTGTGCCCATATAGAAAGAGGCCACTTACACAAATTATGCAGGAGTAATAATTCATGTGTAACGCATGTGGCTCAGTTAAACAAAGATGTTCTACATTAAGTGAGAATATTAATGTGTGAAAAGCGTGGATAACTACCTTCACATAAGGAAGTATACAATTAAGTTACAATGTTCCATTCAGTATTAATGTTTCATGTGCGTGTATCATAACTTGAATACATACACACATATTATTGTTAAAAAACCTAGGTCAAATACCTTACATTATTTCAAATGATTTTATTATAAACCCGACCCGATCATTGATCTGGTCGAGGTACTGCGTCACTGGTTCAACCGGTACTCAAGTGGTTAAACAACATGATCCGATTCAAAAAAATTATAAACATACTCAAATCTCTATAAAAAATAATACCAACTGACAATATTTGGTATATGAAAATTAGTAAATCATACATATAGTCAGTGTACTGATACCTATTATATATATATATATATATATATATATATATATATATATATATATATATATATATATATACTGAAAAATTTAAACATTATTAATTTATAAAATATTTAAATTTCTTAGTATAAGGTACTGCGAAATGTGTTCTTTTACTGGACACAAAACTTAGGTTATTTTAAGAGAGATAGACATAAAGAGGTGTGGGTCCCAACAAAAAAATAAAGACAAAAAATATATAAGGTATAAATCTCACCTCTTTGTGTCTATTTCTCTCTTGAAAGAACCTTATTTTGTGTCTTTTAAAATGATACACAGTATCTTCTAAGTTAAAATACATTAATAAATAAATCAAAATGAAGCAAAATAAAGAGAGTTTAGGGTTTGTAAGAAAATAGATTTGGCCAGAATGTTTCAAAACCCTAATATTCACCTCTCACACTTACTTCCTTCCACTCTCATTTCCATAAAACACAATAGGCTCACCCGCATGCTATATGATCATACGCAGATCTGTTTGGTTTTTGGTGGTTTTCGCTGCTTTTTAAAAAATCTCTTGTCTGTTTTCTTGTAATTTGCTTAATTGGTTTTTTGTTCTCGATTGTTTTCTAGTTTTTTTGAATCTTTGGGTTCTATTTTTTTTTTCGTTAGTTGCTTCGGTGGCTGACAAAGCCTCTTCTTGTTCCCCCATTCGCTGCGCCTACCTCCACTTTCTAGGTACCTCCATTCGTTCCTTATAATTTTTTCTGCTTCTTCCAAGGGTGGTTATTGATATATGTTTGCCTTAACTTGATTTTATTTTCTGTACGCCTGTATGAATCGAAACAATAAGATCGACCCAAGAAATCTTACTGCACCGTCCATGTCACCCAGGGCATTCTGAGGAACAATTAACTCCTTCTGTCTTATACGATTTGGAGAGGCCATAATATTTTGTCAATTTGAACAATTCAAAGTTGTTTTCTCTATTTTTAACATGTTGGGTATTTCCTTGTTTTCCACATTTCTGATACATATGCAGGAATTGAATTTTGGATCTCTTGACAATGGCAATGAAACCTGAAATGCCTACATCTTGTGAAGGGGGCTCTTCTTTCCCTACCTCCCCTACAAGAGCTGAAATAGAGGAGCATATCAAAGTTTTGAAGGCTGTAGTTAGGATGAAGGAAACAGAGAATGCTATCTTGTATAATTTAAACAGGCTTACGCTGAAATATTTATTGTCAAAATATTCCAACCTCAATAGCTTCAAAAAAAAGTTAAACGACCTTGTCCCCAAAAAGCTTGAGGAACGGTGGAAGCTTGAGGAAGTATCAACAGCCCAACCATTGCACCAGAGGACTTGCCTTCCAAGCAGGTTAACCCATATGTTATCCTTATTTTGGTTCCTTTATTGGATGTACTTGGTTTTCTACAAGGGTGCTATGTATTTGTTTTTCAAGCACAGAAAAAATATGCCTGTATCTTTGACCATATTAGTCATGTGCTGGATGTTTTGTTTTAATTTCCTTAGTATTAAAAAAATAACATTACTCAAGTAACCATTACTACCCAATAATCTGTAGGCCTCACAATTGATGGTTTGATTATTGTTTTTGCAGTGATGGTTTATACGATGTTGTATCAGATACGATGACACCATTTGAAAGTGATGGACGAGATTAGATCTGTGTGATGATACCAACAATTTTTTGATCTGATTCGATACCAAGATGTTTCCTTCTTTTTGTCATGAGCATCATTTGATACCAACAATGTGTTTCATTCTTTTTGTCTTGGATGGTTGGGTCCATGCTGTATGTATATATATCTTTCCTTAATATGTTTCAATTTAGTCATGTGTTTAATTTATTTTTCTACTCTAAACAGAATGTCATTTTTTCCTAAAAAAAACTCTAAACCAAAATGCACAAGCATTTGTTGTGGGAGAGGGGGGAAACGAAATTGATTTATTTGTTGTGTAATTTCATGGTGATATCAACAATCCAAACCAATCGTAATAGTACAATCAACTTGGAGACGTCAAAAGCTCATCGTCAAAAGCTTATGATAAAAAGATATTTTTATTTTCATTGACAAAAAGAACTCAGCATCAGAAGCTTCAAGTACTTTATGCTAATTATGTTAATTATAAGTCAGGTACACATGACCAGTGCTGCCAAAGAACAAGCCAGCGACTTTCCGATGAAAACAGCACAATGGCTTAGTGTCACATACAATACACAAGCCATTAATGCGTAAAAAAAATTAAAAAACAAAAAATTATACACGGCAGAATGAGCATATATGAACTTGACAAGTTATATTTTATGCATTACACCGAATTTCTACAGTCCAACTTTGATTTAACATTTTTATTAACTGAAACATGATATTGTTTATTCATCCACATTCATAACAAAATAGACAAGTCACTGTTGCTCAGAATGGACCAAATTTATTCAATATACAAAAATAACATGATAGACAAATATAAAGCCATCCAATGTGTACATATATCAAATACAAAAGTAAAGAGAATCCAAAATAAAAATTGAAAGAACCATGTATGCTAAAAATGACCAAACATATTAATAACTAAACTCTTCTAAAATTAAAGTCTAAAACAATAAGGAAGTGCCAGTTGGAGTAGAAGGAAGTGCCATCAGAAGGAGAACTTATCCAACCCCTACTGTGTCTTTTGCTGCTTCTGTGCTTTGAAATATTGCTACTGCAGCAGCAACAATTACTAGAACAATTGCCATCTTGTTTAACTGAATCATCTTGTTATTAACGTTGTGTGTATCAGGTTGCCCTTGTTTCGTGGATCTATTTATCTGCCTCTATCTGTTTCTGAATGGAAGAAAGGCTTCAAAGTACTTTCTATCTGTGAGAGGCGTTAGCTAGCAGGAAATAATGGACTTAATTAATTATCTAATCTTAATTATAATTAATCAACAAATAATAACACATAACAAAAGAAAAAAAAAACATATAATAAATTCACGCGGCATTTTACAAGGCTCATTGGATCAAGGGTTATTAAGTTTATTAATTGTCACTGTCCTCCTAATCAACGTTTCACCTAACAATTGTTTTGATCCAAATGCATAACATGATTCCTTGCTTCTAAATTAGAGTAACCTTGCTATAGATGAGAATCATAATGAAATATATACGCAACTTGTGAGAAGGGTCAAGCACATGAAATGGTCTAAATCAGCTTTAAATAAAATGGGTGCAGTACCTGAAAATGACACTATTGCATGCCATATACATGCACTTGCCCCTAAACCGTTTTATCTTTTCATTGTTTTCATGAAAAGACAGGTTCATTTGCGATGCGTCCATTACATATATATATATATAGTTGGTTTTAGATGAAAATAGGTACCCAAGTTAAACAGGCCAAAACTATTAAAGTGGTTGTTGGGGGTAAGAGTACATATATTTGTGGCTAAAGGTGCTTGTAGGACCAAATCTAATTGCCACCAATAACTGTCTTTCTTTCAATAAGTATATATGCTACCCAACATTATCTTAAGGGGTATACTACAAAAGCAAAAATATGGTTGAGGACAAGTAGAAAGCACGATAAAAGCCTGTTATATGGCCTCACAACAAAAAGATAAAAAGAATTCACAAGATATATACTTTGCAATAGCCCTTTTTTGAATGAAAAGCCAAAAGCATTATATCTCAAGTGAAAACCAAACCTGTTTTAAAACTAACTAAGATAAGAAATTCTCCATCATTGATTCCCTGCTTTGTACCTTTTTCTTCTTCTGTACATACTTGTAATTGACAGAATAAAGTGTTATGTTCATTATGATCTTACAAAAATAGAAGCAGACTTTTATATACTACTGAAGAACTTCAATCAGAGAGATGATACAAGTTCAACCAATAAAACATAAAATGCAACTAATAACAATCACTCACAACCAACTAATAACAAATAATTAACATAACAGCCTAAGTACGGTGCTTAGCTAATATCAGTCACAATTTCCCAAATTACAAAATAATAATAGGTAAGTTGGGATTTGACTTAGACTTTGTACAGGTAAAACATATGTGCCCTTAATAATAGCTATGTCACTATCATTCACTATCATTCACTATCACGACTATCGTGCCCAAATTAAACTTCCTATAAATGTACAAGTAAAAGAAATTTCCGTCCGAAATACTTACCCTTGTATACAACATCAACCACAGCTTCCCTAAAAGTAAATGATACGATGCTTGCCATCCTCAGACTCTCCAATATCACCTGCAATACAAGAACCTATGAGAAACATATTCATGAAGTTACTTTAAATTAAACCCAAACTAGGAATTATTTTGCATAACATTTATAGCAGTATATATTATAAACCATACCCTATAAGTAATTGACATATTTCTTGTCTGACCCCATGTCAATGTCATCTTCCCTCCTTCATTGAGTTCATATATTGCCATTTGCTCTGCCTGCCAATATAGTTTTGTTGACTCATTAATTAATATACATTTTCAACACTCATGGCCTACATAGATTTGGAAATCTTTTTTCTTGGGGGGACATAATTAAGCAACTCTTACTTTTATTGCTTCGAGAAGTTTCTGGTCATCATGAAGATACTTGAGAATCCAAGTTAGAACACTTGTTGTAGTATCCTGAGCTGCAAATAATACCCCAATTACATTATCAGCAATTTGTTCATCTGTTAGTGTTTGGCCTTTTTCATCCTTGTAGTTCAGCAAGTGGCCTAATAGATCCTTCTCGATCAATCTCTGCTCCTTTCTCTTACAAATTATCTCACTTATAATCTCTCTGATTCTCTTCCTAGCCTTTATATCATTTCAAAAGAAAATATTCATTAGACAGAGAAAAGAAACATAATCAACGTACAAATAATTTTCTTCGACTATTAAAAACCATATAATTAAATGTGAAGTGCAACTTATTGAGAGTGCTTTGGAGTATGCAGGTCCATTTTCAATAATACCAGGGACATTGCTTCAAACATACAGAGTCCTGATAGTGACATAGCTACAATCAATTACTATTCTACGAAACCAAAGTGACTTAGTGCTCTTTTTGTTGAAAATGATTAGATAAAGAAAGGGGTTGAACATCAAATACCTTTGGATTTCCCTTTTATTCTTCAGCTGCGATGGAGTTGTCAGATGACTTAGATCTGCTCATGGGGTTCTCTTTTTCTTTTTCAGCAGCAATGGAGAAGATATGCTCTTAGTTAGTGCTCGACATTGCCCTCACCAAAAATGCACCTTCTGAGACCCTCGAGCGTTGGAGAGTAAGAACCAACCAACCCTCAAGTCAATTGCCCAAACCAAGTAAACGGTATTCGAGCTTCACCAAGATTTCCTATACAAGCATGAACGACATCAATGATGCAAGATCCTACTGCCATGAAAGATCCTTAATTTTGCTCTATCCTCCATCACTGCTCTGTTGTTGCTTCTACAAGGAAAAGAAACTCATAAAATCAATAAAATATTCAGAAACAACAGAGCATGTTTATACCGAAATGAAACAAAAATTAAAAAAAAAAAAATTTGTACCGAAATTTCGTTCACTCCTCGTCACCTGGGGAAGTTCCCTCTTCTCCCTGAAATGGAAAACCAAAACTATTGACTTGTTTGGGAGGACAAAATAAGACAAAAATTAATTGAAAAATACATAGACCCGTCTCTGTTTACCTAAACCGCCTCAGCACAAATTTTTTAGGCGGCTCAAATCTAACTGCCTCTTTTTACAAGAAAACGACGACAGCATCCCATATCCGACGACACACCCGCCTAGTATTCCTAATATTTGAGGGCGGTGAAGCTCAAACGCCAGAATCCGCCTCAGAATATATTTAAACAAAGGCGGTCCTAATTAAACGCCACAATATCTGACGGGTTATGACCCCAAACATCGTCGGCCTCCTTATCCGCCCATTAAACCGCCTAAAATGAATATTCACAGGCGGTTTTCTGGTAACCGCCTGAATACGTCCGACGGGATTTGCCACTTTTCTTGTAGTGAAAGGCATTTTTCTTTGATTGTGGGTTGATTTATGGGTCTGTAATTAATTTTGGGTAGTCCTTGTTAACGGGAATTCGATTTTTTTTGGTGTTGCTATTTTGTTGTTTTTATTTCCCTTTTCTTTGATTATGTTTCATAAAATAAATAAAGCAAAGGCATTTTTCTTTTTTCTTTTATAAAGGATATCTTTAGAAGCAATTTTCAGGGTTGTAAAAATAAAAAACATTTTATATTTAAGCAATTAAACATTTGGTAAGAAGATTAGTTTGAATCATGATCTTTAGGAAAGCACAATGATAAAGGAGCCTGTTTGGTTTGTCGCTGCGTTGAATAGAATTCTGTTTGAGGGCGAAGATTGATTGCAACAATTTCGAACATGTTTGGTTGCACAAAATACTGGAAGAAAAACCGACTGTTAAGGGTTAGAATTGATTTTGAGTGAAATAATTTTTTTCCAAGAGTGAGACTCGCATATTATATTTGTAATTCTACTTTATCAGTTATACAAAAATAATTTTTTAAAATATCATTCTAAAATCATAAATTTATTTTTAACATCAATTCTTTTTTCACGTTATTTTTTTAATTCCAATTTTATCAAAATCTAAATTGAAATTTAACATGATCATGTCATGTGAGAGGATCTTAACCATTAATAATTAAATCAACAATGATAATTGTGTAACTTTATATCTTTATATTTTTTCTTTCTCATTCTTTATCACCATTCATTCAATAATATATGATTATGATTATTACACATGACATGATCATGTAATTAGGACATGAAGAAAATTCCAAATTTTTAAATGCAAATTGTATGTACAACTGCTGTACACAAAGTTCTCTCGACCCAATCATAAAGGCGCACGGAAAGTTGTCTCGACCCAATCATAAATGCGCCTCTGTTTGTTCTGGCTGCCATAAATAGAATTATGCTTAAAAAGGTTAAAATATAGGATTTTATGTTTATCATGTAACATAACACAATTTTATTTTTCTACATACACGTTAAAGATGTGGGGTTCACATGTTTTTTTTTTCTCTTTCATCATTCCACTTCTTCTCTTCCTTTTGTTATGTTTGTTGAAAACAAAACTTAAGTTATGTAATATACCATTAATAAAACCCTAAAATGTATTACAACAATTTCAAACATGTTTGGATGCAAAAAATACGGGTACTAGAAAAACACGCGGGGTTAGAATTTATATATAGCAATAATAAGTATATGATTGGGATCCCCATATTTAAAATTTTTATCTTTTCTATGTAAACCTCTATAATATTATTTCAAGGTATGGGACTGAAAAATTATATTGTATCAACTAAACAAAATAAATTTTTTAAAATGATTTTTTGAAATATCATTCTCAAACAAAAATTATTTTTTAACGTCAACTCTTTCAACGTTAATATTTTTAATATCAATTTTATCAAAATCCAAATCAAAGCTTTAGATCATAAAATTTAAAACTCATTCTAGAATATATATTAACAAAGATACATTCATGAATATCAGTACCAAAGAAAAAATCAATGTATATAGAAGCATAAGAAAAAAAAGAAAAAAAATCAAGGTCTCTCCTTTTGAGGTTTTCACCCTTAAATCATTTCCCCTTCCTTTTGTTATTTGCAGTTGGTTGAACAACTGGTTGATTTATAGAAGCCTTTGTTTATAATCCCGCTTTTTTACCTTAGGGTTTGGTGTTTGTCATTTAAAATAATATAAGTTATGTCATTTTAAGAGAGAGATAGACACAGAAAAACGGAAATCATGGGAGAGACAAAGTGAATGATTTTTTTTAATTTAAAATTCAAATTTTCTGTGTCTGTATCTCTCTTGAAATGACATAACTTTCTGTCGTTTAAAATGACAAACACTTTTTCCATAAAATAAAATAAAAAACCCACACAATTGAAGAAACCTGTTTTGTTTTCGTTTGAGTAGGGGAAAAGTTAAATACCATTAAAAAAAAAAAAGACATCTATATAAGACGTCATACATATTGTCCACAATCACAATTCACAAGTGTCCACAACATTTCACTTTGCAAGAATTAGAAAGAAACTTGAAGGAGAATCTTGTGCAACTATGCGTCCACCGTTGAAGAGGGTCAATTTCTGCAGAGGAGACAAGGTTGAGGTTTGCAGCAAAGAAGAAGGGTTTCTCGGTTCCTATTACGAAGCCACCATTGTTTCTAGGGCTGGCAATATGGGCCAGCCCGCCCCGGCCCGCCACTAGCCCGCTCAAAATGGGCTGGCTCGCCTCGGCCCATTTTGACAAAATGAGTTGAATTGAGTAACCCGGCCCGTTTTATGAGTGGGTTGGCGGGCTACGGGCCAGCCCGCCTAAAATAAAAAAATATATAAAAATAAAATACAAAAAATTAAATTCTGTATAAAATCACATAAAAAAATCTGCATAAAAGCATACAAAAATCTGTATAAAATCCTAATGTGCTTATGAAATCAAGAAGATCAGTGTTTAATAATCTGCATATAAATATGCATCTTTCAATCCAAAAATAATAATAAAAAAATAAAATCATATCAGGATAAAATAGAGTAACAAAACAAGTAACAAAGTGTTGTACGAGCAGTCCACAACAATTCAAAAAAGCCACTTGCATGCAGAGAAATCTAAGATACGGAGCTACATAACAATTGGGCAACCTAAAAAAAAAAAAAAAAGGACTTGGCGGGCTAGCCCGCCCCGTGGCGGGTTGACCCATATGGGCTGGCGGGTTTGGCGGGGCGGGTTTGGCGGGCTGGTGGGTTGAAAAACTCAACCCAGCCCGCCCCATTTGGCAGGCGGGGCGGGCCAGCCCGGCGGGCTCAGCCCATTTTGCCGGCCCTAATTGTTTCCCACCTTGACAATGGCCTCTACGTTGTTCGCTACAAGAACCTTCTCGAGGACAACGAGTCTCAGCCTCTCACCGAAACCCTTTATCCCAAGGAGCTTCGTCCATTGCCACCTCATGTCCACGCTTCTCAGTTTGCGCTCTATCAGAAAGTCGATGCTTTCGACAACGATGGTTGGTGGGTTGGTTCGATCACTGGCAGATCTGGTTCTCACTACTACGTGTACTTTTCTACCACAAACGAAGAGATAGCGTACCCTTCTTCTCATATCAGGGTTCATCATGAAT